GTCTACATAATGGTAAGGTTCTCCTGGTTCTGCTCATTTCACTCAGCATCAGTACATATAAGTCTTTCTAGGTTTTTCTAAAGTCTGCCTGCTCATCATTTCTTATAGCACAGTAGTATTCCATTACATTCATATACTACAACTTGTTCAACCATTCCCCAACTGATGGGCATCCCCTCAATTTCTAATTCTTTGCCACCACAAAAAGAGCTGCTATAAATATTTTTGTACATGTGGGTCCTGTTCCCATTAGTTTTATCTCTTTGGGATACAGGCCTAGAAATGGTTATTGCTGGGTCAAAGGGTATGCACAGTTTTATAGCCCTTTGGGCATAGTTCCCAATTGCTCTCCAGAATGGTTGGATCAGTTCATAACTCCACCAACAATGCGTTAGTGTTCCAGTTTCCTCACATCTTCTCCAGCATTTTCATTTTCTTGTTTTGTCATATTAGTCACTCTGATAGGTGTGATGTCGTACCTCAGAATTGTTTTGATTTGCATTTGTCTAATCAATAGTGATTTAGAGCATTTTTTTCATATGACTGTAGATTGCTTTAATTTCTTCCTCTGAAAACTGCCTGTTCATATCCTTTGACCATTTATCAGTTGGGGAATGATTTGTATTCTTATAAATTTGACTCGGTTCTTTATATATTTTAAAAATGAAGCCTTTATCAGAGACACTGGTTGTAAAAATTCTTTCCCAGTTTTCTGCTTCTCTCTTAATCTTGGTTACATTGCCTTTGTTAGTACAAAAGCTTTTCAATTTAATGTAATCAAAATTATCCATTTTGCATTTCATAGTGTTCTCTATTGTTTGGTCATAAATTCTTCCATTCTCCATAAATTTGACAGGCAAACTATTCCTTGCTGTCCTAGTTTGCTTATAGTATCAACCTTTGTATCTAAATTGTGTACCCATTTTGATTTTATTTTGATATATGGTGTAAGATGTTAGTCCAGTCCTTCTTAATTCTAGTGCCTTCTCTCCACTAATTATTTATCCTGTATATAACTTGTTTGTATGTATTTGTTTGCTTGATGTCTCCCTTATTAGATTGTAAGCTTTTTGAGGGCAGGGACTGTCTTTTTCCTTGCTTTATATCACCAGCTCTTAGCGTAGTGCCTGGTGCATAGTAGGTGCTTAATAAATGCTTCTTGACATGATAGTATTGGTTAGCAGCCAATTTTTCTTTTTAATTGTCTTCTAACTTTTCTTCTATCTTGAAGAGGACTGTGCTGCACTTTAGTGGAATCAGTAACAGCTTATCCAGTTGCTAGGTCCTTGTGAAAGTCTTTGCTTATTTTCTAAAGATTAATTAGGCTTTTTTGAAGCAATAATTTTGTCAGTTTTTCATTTTTTATCACTCCCTTATTCTCAGGTGTGAGATTTTTTTGTTGTAGCCTTGAATTACCCTTGGAACACACTTGACTTCCTCTCACCAATAACCTTTGTATTATTTCTAATGCTGAAGTGTACTCTTAAAAACAAAGCATTTATTTGCTCTCCCTTTTTCCTTTCTCACCACTGGAAAGAAGAGAAAAGAAAAACAAAATTCTTGTAACAAATAGTTAAGTAAAAAAGTTCCCATGTTGGCTTTGTCCAAAAATGTATGTCTTATTCTAGTGCCTTGATGGACTCATCAACTCTAAGGAGATGGATGACTTTCTATATAATTGGTCTTCTGGAATCATGATCGGTCATTATGTTGGCCAGACTTCTTTAGTATTTCAAAGTTTTATGATGATGTTACAGTATTAGCATCAATATAGCATAGTATTGCTCTCTTGTTTCTGCTCACTTGCCTGTACTATTTCATACAAATCTTCCCAATTTTCTCTGAAACTATCCTCTTCATTGTTTCTTATAGAATAGTTGTATTCCATTATATTCATGTATCTTAATTTGTTCAGCCATTCATCAGTTAATGAACACTTGTTTAGATTGCAGTTCTTTGTGTTCTTTAAGAGATATAAACTTATTTGGATCCATTTTTTTCAGTTCAAGAAAAAAATTCACTCAAATGATGAAGTGCTTTTGCCAACTACTTCATTGTGAACCTTTTTGGTTTGACCTCAAGTTCTGAAGCTTCCTTTCCTTTTCTGCAATCTTTGCAACTAGCACCTCAGTCAGATCCTCATTCAGTGTTCTTTCAGAATTCTTTGTGTATGTTTCCTTGGAATAATATCTGTTTTTCAAAACCCCAGTATAAGAATCATAGCAAAAGAGGTAAGTGAAGCATGGAAATTCAGCACTAACCTGACCAACCTTAAGAGAATGAATTTAAGCTGGGGAAATCTGGTTAATCTGGTTTCATCTAGTCATGGGTCAGACACTAGTCAACCTAGTGTCAATAGAAGCATACACTTATGACCGTTGCTGTCACAAAATGAAATCATATCAATGTTATTACTTGTTCTAAATAATCTTCACATCACTGTACCTAAGAGGATTGTTAGGAAAGTACTTTTTCAAATCTTAAGGTATTATGAAAATATGTATTATTAAATGGCTGTGCTGGTTAGTGGCAAAAAAGGCCTGGAGTTCCTGTCTCTAAATTTCTAATCTAGTATTATTTTCACGATCTATATCTATATGTATACACGTATATGTATATATGTAATATACACATATATGCACATACACAGACACACACATATATACATACATATATACACATATAATAAATTCAGCAAGTATTTAAGTGCTTATTTTGTGCTAGGCACTAGGAACACAAAGACAAAAACCAAAGAATACCTTCCCTCAAAGAGTTTATTGGGGAAAACGACTAAGATCTTTGTAGGCAAATGGGTTGATAGTTACTGTTCTCTTTGTCACCTTTTTGGGGGGTAATAATAAGGTTATGAGGGTGTGTTTTTTATTCCTTTGGTGTTTTCCCTTCTTTTATATACCTTGAGAATTGGTCTCTTTGTGCCCCACAAGTTGTCTCTTTCATCATGGACTTCCTCTGTTTATATTTGATCTAGTCCAGTTTCTTTTCTCATCTTTATTTTCTCTGATTTTTGAGTCTAAAATCATAGGTTCATAGTCCTTGATGGTGAAAAGGGTTTGTTGTAAAAATTTCAGGTATCTTTTCCATTTTAAAAAATGTTTCTTCTTCTCTAATTTATCCTTAAATAGACAGTTCTCACTTTACAAATATTCATATTAGATAAATTCACATTATGTATTTTCAAATTCTAAAAGAATTCTAAAAGAACTGTTAAATGAGGATCCGATTAAGCTGTAAGCTGCAAAGATTGCAGAAGAAAGAGAAGCTTCAGAACCTGAGGTGGAACCAATAAGGTTTGTAACAAAACAGTTGGCAGAAGCATTTCATCATTTGAGTAAATTTTTTTCTTATATTGAAAAAGTGGATTCAAATATTTCAATAATTTTAAAAGTTCAAAGACTGAGGATAATATTGCTTGCTATGGTCAGATATATGATGAAAAAAGAGAACCACTGTCTGAATGTTTCTGATAGCTTCATAAAAAAGTTGCACAGCCAGCCATTCTAGGTGCAGTGGGTGGGAAAAGGGCAAGATACCGTGTACCTGTGTTAACTTTACTGTACAGTACTGTGCATACTTTGTCTTTAACTTTACCTTTCATTTCATAATTCTGTTTATTATCATGGTATGGTATTTAATATGTCTGTATTTTAGTACATTTTATGTCTTGCCTAAAAGTTTTTTTGTATGTGCCTTTGTTATATAGTCTTAAGTGAAGTGGATAGGTAGGGGCAAATTCACATTATATTAAAATTGTTCAGGTAAAGGTCTGTGGAATGGCTGCTTATGTAAAGCAACAACTATCTGTACTTTTAGGATAACTTTGCCTAGTTGTGTTTCTCACCAAGCTATCTTCAGACTTTTTCCTCTCCACTGCTTCTTGAGGTTTTCTGATGCAACAGCCTTCCTATTTATATTGCTGGTTGGAAGTTAGGTATTTTACCTGCAGTAGGTATAAGCTATAAAATTTTTGACCACTTTCTTCCCTTTCCACTATTAAATCCTACACTGAAAGAGGAAATGAGAATTTCTATCAGTCTTTTCTTTACCTAACATTTTGTACCTCTATCATGAACCCTTGTTTTTCCTCATATTTCTATCTTTAATTCAGATTCATAATGAGTTCTGACACCAGACCTGTTCAGTAGAGAGCCAAGGATCATGCATTGCTGTGACAAAGTTTAGAGGTTTGGAAATCAGTTAAAAAAAAATGTATCTTTGAACATAAGGTGCAAAGACAAGGTAATAGGGTAAATAACCTGGGATTTTTACTGTACCAAGAGCCTTGGTTCAAATTCTGGCTCAGCCGCTGAGACCATGGCCAACTCACTTACACTGTGAGAGCCTTAGTTTCCTTATCTGTAAGATGTGGATAATAATACTTGCGTACCTACCTCAAAGGGTTGTTGAGAGGATTCAGTTAGATAAATAAAGTGTGTAAAATGTTTTACAAACTTTAAAGGTATGATATCATGCTAGTTGTTATGATGTTCTGTTTGTAGAAGCTAAGGACTGGTAAGAAATTGAATTTGTGGTAACATTACATCCACATTATCTTTCTTCAGAACTTTTTTGTCCCAAATCTAATTGAGTTATAATTCTGCCTTTTCACTTAAAAAATGTACTCTACTTATTCTATTGTTACTTTTCCTAAAATTACCATTTTAATATATTTTTCATTTTTACACATTATGATTTGGTTTTCTTTCTGTACTGGAGGTTTCAAATACACACACACACACACACACACACATATAGTTTCAAATCTTGGGTCTGCTCCTTAGTACTTGTGTGAATTTGGAAAATTCACTTAACCTTTCTGCTCCTGATTTCCTGATTTATAAATTATATATCCTTTCCTGATATAATGTCTTAGGTCCCTTCTACCTCTAAATTCTGTTCTTCTGTAATATTCAGTTTTTGAGAAAATGAGAAATCTTGTAAAATTTTAACTTACATTGACTATAGTTTTTTCTTTTCTCAAGGATTTGGAATGCATTAACAGATAATTATGGTAATGTGATGCCAGTAGATTGGAAGTCTTCTCATACCAGAACTTTGCATTTGCTCACCTTGAACCTCTCTGAAAAGGGGGTAAGTCCTCAATTTGCCCATTTATTTTCTGATTATCCTATTTTTGAAAATTGATATTAAAGTATGTGTAACTGGCTTAAGAATCCAAAGCTTAAGAATCTGAATTCTGACTTATATAGATATTTCATTGCTGAATTAGAAACTCATTAAGCTACAAATTCACAATTGTGCTCCACTCCAAACTTAAAGAATTTGGAAGTATCTAGTATTGCCATCTTGTCCCATAAGCTATCACAACTTCTTATCCTGTGTTATTTATATCTGTGGACTCCCATAAATCCAACTGATCTTCAAATATTATGTGGATACCATTATACCAACTAGGCTGTTTATTTGTTATACCTTGCTCTTGTTTCCTGAACAGACTACTTCCTTTTTTGTTCTTATATGTCTTGGTTGATCTTTTATGCTGCTTCTTGTTTATAGTATGGCATTGACAATATAGCATAGCTTTGTGCCTCCACCATGCATTTTTCCATTGCCCTTTGGGTCACTAGCAATTTTAATTTTGTGGAAATTGTGGTAGTCCATGATTCCAACCATATAGTATCATTGGTATTAAAAACAATAATTTTTTTTTCCAGAGAGAAGGTTGGGGTAATTTATTTTTTATTTTTTTTAAATTAAAAAAAAATTTATTTTTTATCATTTTTAGGCAATTGGGGTTAAGTGACTTGCTCAGGGTCACAGAGCTAGTAAGTGTCAAATGTTTGGTCTGAGGCCAGATTTGAACTCAGGTCCTCCTAATTCCAGGGCAGATGCTCTATCCACTGTGCCACCTAGCTTCTCTGGGTTGGGGTCATTTAAAGTTCCCAAATGCAATACACATGATTCTGTTCATCTTATTAATTTCTAGATTCAGCTCGTTGTCCATCTGTAATCTATAGCTAAGACATACGTACTAATTGACTGGTGTTATAAGTTAGCTGTTCACCTACATGTCATAGTTTAGATAATACAATTTTAAGTTACATTTCAGCAAAAGGCAATGGTCAGCAATGGTCAACACTTTATGCTACTCACTTTTGACTTGCTAAATGATAGTATAAAGTAAGAAAATCAGTTACTCCTTAAATGTACTTTTATGTTTGGAACAGAGTGCTAACATAGATATAATCTGTTTATTTATTAGATGATTATTGTTTAACTTGAGCCAGGATGTAAGCCTGTTAATACCAGGAATTGTTTTGTTTCATTTTTGTTTTTATATCGCTAGAGCCTAGCACAATTCCTTGTATATAGCAGGTGATTACTAAATGTTTGTGGGACTGAATTTCCTGGAGAAGAGAAGAGTTGGGCGGGGTGGAGTATGTGATTGTAGTCTTCAAATATGGAGGAAGGATTAGATTTCTTCTGTTTGACCCCAAGGTGGGGAACCAGAAACAGTGGGAGGAAAATGGGAGGACAATTTCAGCTTGTTGTCAACACCTGCACAATCAGAGCCATTAAAAAGTTGAATGGGCTACCTCAGTAAATATTAGGTACCCCCTTCTTGGAGAACTTCAAATAGAGACTATAAGACCAAGTGTCATGTGGGGATTTCTTTTGTGTGTATTGGAATGGGTGGCTGCTGAGGTCCCTTCCAGTTGTCACATTTTATGATTTTGTGATTGTCTGAGTTAGAGGTGAGGAAGGTATGTATTCCAGGATCAGAATAGTCAAAGTGCAAAGGATAGATCAGTGTAAAGGCATGGAGATTGGAAATAGTGTCCAAGATGTGAGGACCAAGGCCCATTTGGCTGAATCATAGAGTGCAGAAAGGGAAGTGATATATGATGAGGTTAGAAATATAGATTGGGCACAGGTTGTGAAGGGCTTTGAAAGACAAACAGGAATTTATAGTGTAGACTAGAGACAATGTGGAGCCTCTGGAGTTTGAATAGGGATCTGACATGATCAGATCTGTGCTTAAGGAAAATGACTTTGGCAGCTGTATGTAAGAGAGATTTGAGTGGGAACCAGGAAAATAACATATATAATAACTGTAATAATGCCAACAAAAAGAACAGTAATATAAAAATGAATGCTGTGTAATTATAGTGACTGATCTTGGCCCTAGTGAAGAGGGAAGGAAATATACCTCCCTCTTGTTAGTAGGGAGGCATATCCTCATTTACCTCTTGTCTCCATGCCTTTTGCACTGGCCATCCTCCATGCTTGCATGTACTTTTTCCTTAGCTCTGCTTCATAGAGTCCTTCTCTTTCAAGATACAGCTCAAGCATTATTTCTTACGTAAAGCCTTTACTGATGCTCCTTACTGCTGGTGCCCTCTTTCATTAACTGCCCTGTATTTTATTACCTTTTATTTATCCTCTATATATTTAAACGTGTGCATGTTTTATTCTCCATTTGAATGTAAACTCCTTGAGAGGAGGAGTTATTTTGTATTTGTATCTTTAGCACCTAGCACAGAGAGTGACTCACTAAGAAAGGAAGAGAACAAAAGCAGTGGTGTCTCACACAATATATATGTTTTTGTTTGTTTTTTTTTTTGGTGAAGCCGTTGGGGTTAAGTGACTTGCCCAGGGTCACACAGCTAGTTAAGTGTCAAGGGTCTGAGGCTGGATTTAAACTCAGGTACTCCTGATTCCAAGGCCAGAGCTCTATCCATTGTGCCACCTGGCTGCCCCAGAATATGGTTTACATCCATAATTCCTTGGTCCTGCCATCAAAAGGTGGGAAGTGTACTTTGTCATCTCTTTTTTGGCTCCAAAATCAGGCAAAATTACACAGCATTCAGCTTCATCTTACTCTTTTTTTGTTTGTTTGTTTACATTGCATTATTCTTTATATATGTTGTTTTCATGGTTCTGCTGACTTCACTCTCACCAGTTTTTCTCCTGTTTCTCTGAACTCTTGATGCTTTGTTTCTTAAGATATTCTGTTAAATTCCTTATACTATAGTTTGTTCAACCATTCTCCAGTTGACAACTTTTAATCTCTGGATATCCTCTTAAGCAATGGCTGTACCCTCTCTCCTCCCCTGACATAATACTGATCCTAAGTGGGGAGTTGAAATACTCCTTGGTCATCACTGTCACTTCCTTTGAAGTCAACTTCCAGCAGCCCTTCTTTCTTCCAAGTCCACTCAATCAAAATTTTTCATTCAATCTAATTTGTGGTGGTTTTAGTATACTGACCCTCCAGGTCATTCTCCCACATTTTTCAGAGTTCACCACCTTACTCTCTTCCCCAACTTTGTCCTCATACTAGGGGAGTTTAATATTCCTATAAATGCTCCCTCAGATTTGCTAACCTCCTAATGCCTTAGCCTCTTTAAGTCCTATGATTTACTCCTTTACTCTACCTCATCTGTTTCCTTAATTAAAAAGCTGTCATTTCTCTATCTGACCATAACCACTTGTCATCCCAGCTCTCCCTATGGATCACCCCTCCTAAAGCTATTCCCATTGAGACCTTCAGTTCATCCACCCCTCCATGATAGGGAAGTAGGTCTTGTTGAGATGCATGTGCCAACTGCCCTGGCTGGTAGTCTAACCACCTTTCCTAATCTGCTCACTTGAGTCCCTTCATAAGTTGTAGTATATCTATCTCTATCTCTCTGCTAGAAGAGAGAGTTCTGTCTTTGGCTTTGTCCTGCTGCACCCTTGCAAGCTGTCCCTTGGCAGCTTGAAAAGAACTAGAGTGCCACAGCGGATAGAGCACAGGGCCTGGAATCAGGAAGACCTGAGTTAAAATCCAGTCTCAGCACTAACTAGCTGTGTGTCCCTAAGTAAGTTACTAAATCTATTTGCCTCAGTTTCCTCAGCTGTAAAGTAGAGAAAATAGCATCTACCTTGCAGAGGTGTCATGTGAATCAAATGAAATAGTATTTGTAAAGCACTTAGAAAAGTGCCTGGCACATAGTAGGTGCTATATAAATGCTTGTTCTCTCCTTCCTTTCTCCCCACCTCTAACCCCCAGTACTTTTATGGGTAATTCATTATCCCTGGAATAAATTCACTTTCCTCCCTTTCTAATCTCAAGTAGTTGAGATTATTTCTACTTTATACTCTATTTTTGAATTTCTTGCCCTCCTGCCCTGTTGACAACTTACCTTTTGGCAAACCTTAGTCCTAAATGAGACCCACAATCTACCCTCTCTACTCCTACTTACAAGCTACTAAATGCAGCTGGAAGAAATCTCATAATCAGGCGGACAGGGTACATTACAAATTCATGTTATTCAATCTCAGCTGGGCTCTCTGGTGTAGCAAGCTGGTCCTTTTATTTCTCCCTAATTGATTCCCTATCTTGCTCCACACAAGCTATTCCAAAGCTTATCATACCTTCTACTCCCTCTCTCAACTGGGCACCTTACTTCTTTATTGAGAATATTGAGGTCATTAAATATGACCTCCTGCATTCCCCCATTCTCTTTATTTCAAAATTCCTTGACATCATCTCCCTCTCTCTCTTATTTTCCCCCAGACCCTGACAAAGAGATGTTCATTATCTATTCTTCAAGGCTAACAGGCTTGATAATGTGCCCTTCATCTCAGCCACTCTTATCCTCACTAGCAGATTGTTTGCTCAGTCTCTTTCTCTCTCTCTCTCTCATACACATATGCATACTCTCTCTCTCTTTCTCTTTCTGTTTCTTCCCTACAGCCTTCAAACATGATGAAATCTTATCATTTAAAACAAAACAAAACACTTTAGTAAACTCTGCCATTCCCTCAAGCTCTACCATCCTATATCTCTCCTTCATTTCTCAGCCAAACTCTTGAAAAACTGCCTATTCTCACTCAACTCTTTGCAGTCTCTCTTCTGACCTTATTGTTCAACTGCAACTGCTCTTAATTGCCAAATCTGAAGATCTTTTCTCAGTCTTCATCCTTCCTGATGAAGACTGGCACTTCTCCAGCTTTCTTCACTGGCATAGAGAGTTTGAAACTAGATACTTGTAAACTCAAGTCACTATACAAATATTAATTCAAGGAAAATAAACTTGTGCTTCACTGGCACTGTTGATCACCTTTTCCTGGATACTTTCTCCTCTGGAGTTTAAGGACCCTCTTCTCCATTGGTTCTTCTCCTAATTGTCTGACTGCTCTTCAGGTTCCTTTGCTGTCTTGTCATACACATTCGCCAAGATTCTATCCTAGGCCCTCTTTTCTTCTTTCATGCTCTTGGCAACCTCATAAACTCCCATGGATTTATCTGTCAACTTTATGCAGATGACTTATGTACATTTATGTATATGTATGCATATGTACATATATACATGTACTCCCTGAAACCTGCCTTTCTTCTCAAGTCATCACATGTCTTGGTAGCCTGTTTAAGGCTGGCTATTACTGATTTTTTTTCCCTACAGCTGTGGACAAAGTGGGGGCAGCTAGGTACAAAGTGGGTAGAGTGCTGGGCCTGGAGTCAGGAAGACCTGAATTCAAATTCAGCCTCAGACACTAATTGTGTGATCCTGGCAAGTTACTTAACCCTGTTTGCCTCAGTTTCTTCATCTGTAAAATGAGCTGCAGAAGGAAATGGCAAACCACTCCAGTATCTTTGCCAAGAAAACCCAAAAAGGAGTCATGAAGAGTCAGATACAACTAAGAAATGACTGAACAAGATTAGACAGAGAGGGCCAGGAGGAAAAGTTGACGTATTTCTTGTTCCTTATTGCCATTTTCAAACACTTTCTTTGTCACTATCACTCAACAACCACCTCTCTTCTTCACAATTTATTCCATCCTGCGTCATTTGCAGACATCAGTCTTCCTTCTTCCCCATACGCTAATAATTTTAGTACTTGGCTCATAAACTCTTTATCTATTCCACCCTCACCTTGCTTTGAACACCCTTGTCTCTCTGATCCTTAAGCTCTTCAGCTCCCATAATCTCTCTGTCTCTTGTCTGATTCAGCCAAATAACTTAGTGGCCTGAGGAATTTTAATTGCCATTGGCATCTAGGCAATTGTTATTGTTAAACTCAGTCATATTAATTGATTTTTGAAAGAAGCTATAATGTTGACTTCTAGCTAACCTTTAGGGTTGTAATATTTATGGGAAAGAAAAGTATATAATTTGACTCCCTGTCATTGAAGGACTTTTGATTTTCTAAAGTGAGAAAAGTCATTTGGAAAAGCCAAGGCATATTGAATTTCAGTTTCAATTTTTACATAATTAAAATTCAAGATGGTGTATTATAAAATGATGGGTTGTTTCTAGAGCAAGACAACTGGTACATTCCAGGCATTTACATGAGTACATTTTTTCCGTTTGGTGGCTCTTAAATTTCATTCAGGGAAACAACATTACCAGTTCTCGCTATAATTCTGGCACAGGATTTGATAATGGAAATGCTTGGCAATTATGAAGGAACATTTATGCTGAATAATGACACCCATAACAGCCAGGGTTACCTTGCAAAGCCTGGAAAGAATTCCAGAAATTAGAATATTCCAACCTTGTGTGGAATAAGGGAGAGGGAGCCACTTCACTCATTCTCTGGGAATGTGATATGGGATCATTATTTCTGATGCTTTGTTCATAATGGAAATGATTCTGATTGTTGGTGTCACCACTTTTAGGAAATTTTGGCATCAGAGTTAAGTTATTTACTATCTTTAAGTACTAAAGATGTCTAAAAAACATGCTTATGTTGATAGACTGCTTGCAAAGCATTTTGACTAGCATACACCCTGTGCTATGATATTCCATTCCTTATTGCCACTACAGGAGAGAAAATGGATAGGATATAAGAGGGGTATTAGAGGTTCGTGACTCCAGAAGAAGTCACGAGGAGTCAGGCATGACTGGACAATGGTAACAACAACATGTGATATAGGTAATATTTGGTTTGTTTGATTAAACTGTGGGTTACTATAATTGTCAAATAGATATTTTCCTTTTAAGTATTGCCTTTAAGGCCAGACTAGTTTTGTGGCTGATTTAAGTTTTGGATTCCATTCTAGAACAGATTTTGGTATATTGTTAGTACTTCTGTATGAGAACTTACAGATTCGTCACAAAATGAATCGAGCATTCATGAGGACCCTATGTACAAGAAATGATCATGAGATAGGAATGGAATTGAATAAAAAACGTCAAGTTGGGGAGAATACAGATAGTGTCTGGATCGTTCCACTAATGGTGGTTAGCTGACTCACTTATAGTAGAATTATGTACAATCCAACTTTAGTCAGTTTTGAAAGTTTTTGATTCATACATTTAGTAAAAAAAAATAAGGACTGGGAGAGAGGCATGAGGGGGAAAAGAGGAACTTATGTTATCTTTGTTTTATTGTGTTTTAGTTTATTTTGTTAAATATTTCCTATTTGCATTTTAATCTGGTTCCAGATGTGCACTGAAAGTATTGTGGGTAATGTGTTTGATACCTTTGTATTAGATGATTAATGGTAAATGCTGCTGTTAATTTCAGTAATGTTCATTGTGAGACTTGTTGACATTTAGAGAAATCCTTTCCTGAGAGGGGAAAGGCTCATCCGAAAAGGCTGAGGAAGTCCCAAAGCAACAAGATGGAGACATATAGTCTTGGCTTGTTGAGTCTATTTCCTTTGAATTAATACTTGTATAGTGACTTGAATTTACAAGTATTTAGTTTCATACTCTCTATATACTTCCTACACAAAATAACTGTAACTGTCTATCTTTGAACTCTTCTCTTATTATTGTATTAGTCACAACATATTTCTTTTTCCCCATTAGTAGTAGTCAATTGTTTTTCTTTGTCTTATTTCCTTTTGGAGTTCAAATCAACGATTTAGTATGTGTTTTCTTCATGTTGAAGTACAAAAACAATGTATAGGCTAATGCTCCCTCTGAATCAATTCAACTTTGTTTCATATGTTCCTGCCTCTGAATGAAGAATTGCTGGGAAAATGTTTTCCTTCCTGGCTCATTCTCCTACATCTTCCCTATAAGATTTTGTTTTTTATAAAAAATCATAACACCTTTTTTATTTTGTGTTGTTATTTTTAGATAAATGACAATTTGATTCTTGATACCTCAGATGATGAAGAGTTGAGGGAACAACTGGATATGCATTCGATTATAGTCTCCTGCATCAGTGATGAACCACTTTTCACAGCAGATCAGGTATGAAGAAAATATTTATCAATGAAAGTCAAAGTAAAGATTGAAAATGATTTTCAATGAATTCTTTAGGAAATCAGTTGTTGGACTTCAGTTATTTTCATATATTTTTAAATGTGCTTATTTCCCAAGGTAGAATCAGGAAAATATGTGTTATGTGGGATCTTTCATATTGAAGGTCTAATTTTATAGTATTCTTGGCACTGACACTAGGATCCTAGATTATGAGTACTGCTTAGTTTTACTGAAAAGTAGATAAACTACAATAAACCTACAATGAATATTCAGTTTGATTAAACTTTGGATAAAATTCATCATCATGAGTCAGAAATATAGACTCAATGCTTTTGAAAGAAGTGAACGTTTTCTGTGGAATGTTACAGAATGCCAGTTCGGCTTGCATTGTGAGCCAGCTGGACAAAGCTTTTTCATTTTCTACATATTCTTCCCACTCCTGTTGTGTATCAGAATATAGTGCAAAGGCTTTTTCCTGAAACCATATTTGCCATGGTTACTGAGCGTATGAATTCTACTATTCTGCATTTTAGGCCAAATTGCAGAGGTTATTGAGGGGCTGGACTATGACAGAGGTAAGGAAATATTAGATCAGAGGTTCCCGAACTTATTTGGCCTAATGTGCCCTTTAAAAACAAAAAAATTATTCAGTGCCTGTCTGGAACTCTATTTTCTTTAACCTTTTAACAGTTTTTTTGGAAATTTGCATCATTTCAAAAAAATATATAAAGTATATTTTTTAAATGACACATCTTAAATTTAATAATTTATTGTAAATTTGTTCTTTATTTTCCTATATTGAAATTTTGATGATGCAGTATTGCATCATATAACTATATAGTATCGTATTGTAAACAAGTCATGACATGCACATATTCCTGCTGATGCATGCTGGACTTCTGGACAATGAATGACACGCTCATCTGCCAACACTTGGTTGTTAAGACTTGTCAGTGGACTTGACCACTGATTGGTTATAACTTGCATTTTGTGTGTTTATTTGGAAAATAATGCAATCACTATTACTTTAACTTTGTTGCACAACAGATGAAACATATATGAATGGTTTTTCAAAATTTTTTTCTCTTCTGTTCTTTCCTTATGCTTCCAACTTTGCCTTATTTTTTATTCATTGCCCCCCTCCCCCTGCACCTGAGGCTACTACCACCCTCTCAATCATTTCAGTGCCCCTTAGGGGGTGATATCGCCCACTTTGGGAACTTCTTAGAGGAAAGTAGGAAGTATAATAGTTAGATGTTTTTCTTCTTCTAGGTTATTCTTGCACACACTGATAATAGATGTAGGTCCAGACCTGAAAAGAAAGTGAATAATAAAAGCAAAATAATTGATAAAAAGTAATTGATTAAAGAAATGTATTTATCTAATCTTACCTGAAATGGCTTTCTGGAAAACTAATAAGGATTACAGAACTAATTATGACCTTAAATTTTGTAGTCTTTTTTTGCAAGTAAATTTTAAACCATCTCACCATTCACCTTAATTTTAAGATTTTTAGAACAGCTTTCCACACCCCTTTTAAAGTAACCTGTTTGAATACTTAGCAATGCTTATCATAGCAAAATTTCTTTGTCTAATTAATGTAATTCCTTTTGTTTCAAATTAAATTAATTTTTTCCTATTTTGTCCCTTAATGGAGGTAGATGATAATATTTTATATTTTAACCTTCATAAAATTGGAGAACATTAAATCTTGCTGTAGATTTCTTCTTTTACCTCCCTCATTTAAATAATTACAATTCCTTGAATAGCCTTTCTACACAAATATTATTTTCTTTTTTTATTTTAGATTTGAATACTAAAACTTAAATACATAATAAGAAAAGAAAAAGAGATATATTACAAACTTAAATATTAAAATATATATAAAATAAGAAAAGAAAAAATGTCATGTGCACAGCAGAATGTAAAAGAGGATTCAAATTATAGAGCAATAAATTTCCATTTTAAGGAAGCCTGTATATTAAATACTATACATTGTGGTGAAAGTTGTCCATCTTTTCTTTGCTTCCATGTAAGTTTTCTTTTGTTCTCTGCTGTACACTTGTCCCCCTTTAGTATTTCTTTCTAAATTTAGAAAACTTTTATACTCTTCTAAATGTATATGTATTTCGTCCTGATGAAAATAGATTTCTAGAAGTAACAGTCCTCCTCCCCCATCTAATTCCTCTGTATGGGTTCTTCTCGCACCTCATTTGTATAAGATAATTACTCTTTTTAGCTGTTCCTAAATGGTTTTACTTTTTGAAGTCATATCATGCTTAGGTCTACCCCAATTTTTCTTATGAACTACCTAGTTACTAATAACAATCTTAAACATACGTTTTACATTTTATATATATGAAAGGTAAATAGTCTGTCCTCGTTGAGTCACTTGTAATTGGTCTTTACTATGTACCTTATGTTTCTCTTGGCTCAGGTATGTCAAATCTTCTATGAAGTTCAGGTTTGGTTTTTTTTTTAACAAAATCCTGAAAGTCTGACAATTCATTAAATGTCCATTTTTTTCCTTCAGAATTGTGCTTATTTTTGCAAGGTGTGATATTTTTGGCCAGAAGCCCAGCTCTTTTGCTCTTGGATAGATAGTGTTCTAAGATCTGCAGTCTTTTAGTGTTGCCACTACTAGGTCTTATGTGATTCTAATTGTGGTACCGCCATATGTGACAGGGTATGGGCCCAAGCCGAGACCTTTGTCCCTTACCCCAAAAGAATTTGGATCTAATTTGTTTGAGGGGGGAATGACGGGGTACAGGGTTTGGAAACACCCTCCTTGAACTCTCCCACTTGATCAAGGAAGTCTCTAGGGTTCAGCTGAGGCTATAATCCTATTAAGTGGCTTTTCCTTTTAACCTGCACCCAATCTACCAATTCTCTGTTACCCTTAATCTAACCTAGCCCTCTATTGTCTGTTACCTCTGTTGGCCCCCAGCTACTTCCTACCTTTAATCCTGTCTAGACCTCATTCTTGATGCCCCTTCTCATAGACCCCTCCTTCAGTCACCCCAAACTACTTGACCACTCCTAGGTCCCTCCCACAATCTTTCTGTATATAAGATCCATCTTGTCTCCTTTGAGGTGCTCAGATTCTTTAAAATCTGGCCCTCTTGCATTAGCGATACAAATGCTCAGATTCCTTAAGAGAATGGCGAATATGGTGGATCTTTAATAAACCTTGTCTTTCGCTGAAAGAAGGCTTGGGTCAAATTCATTCAGGCAGGACCTGCCTCTTTTGCTCTTGATATTTTGGGGTACCAGCACCCCTGAACCTCAACATTTGTAAATTTTTTTTTTCCTTCTTGCTCATAATATTTTATCCTTGAGCTAGGGGTTTAGGAATTTGACTATAATATTCCTGTGGGTTTTCCTCATAGGATCTCTTTCTAGTGGTGCTTGGTGGATTTTTTCTATTTTGATTTACCTCTTGTTCTAATGCTTCAGGACAGTTTTCTTTAATTATTTCTTGTATTATTGTATCAAGATTCTTTTTTTTGGTCATAGCTTTCAGGTAGTCTTATGTTTTCTCTTCTTGATCTGTTCTCCAGATCAGTTGTTTTTCTTATGAGATGTTTCACATTCTCTTCTATTTTTTCATTCTTTATATTTTGTTTTATCATTTCTTGATCTCTTATAACTTTGCTGGCTACCCCTTGCCCAGTTCTGATTTTCAAGGAGTCATTTTCTTGTTTAAAATTCTAGATCTCCTTTTCTAATTGGTTGACTTTCTTTTCATAATCTTCTTGTTTTTCTTGGATTTTTTTTTTAGTTTTTTAGTTTTTCCTCAGTCTCTTTCATTTGACTTTCAAAGTCTTTCTAAAGTTCTTCTATAAATTCTTTTTGGGCAGGTGAACATTTGACATTGGTGGAAGAGAGTTTCTTTGCTTCACTAACCTCCTCTGAAGACTAACCCCAGTCTTTTCTATTCTCATAATAATTCTTTATGGTTGGATTCTTTATCCTTTGTCTGTGCATTTTTTTAATAGCTTAATTTTATAATCACTTCTAGTCCTGAGGTATGGAGGATGGTGCCTCTGGCCTCAGATCCTCCTTCAGTTCTCCTCTCTGACCTTGAATCCAGACCAAGACCTCCAGCCTCTTTTAAGTGCCCATAGCCAGGGCATCCTGGCCCCACTGCTTCTGCACTCAGTAGGCATGTGCTGATTCTTTCTCTCCCTAGTAGCTTCTCCAGCACAACTGGGTCTTGTGTTCCTTTTCAGCATCTTTCCCTCACTTCCCCAGGGGTAAAAGTTCCTGTGCCTGAGGCTGAGGCAGCTTTCCTACCCAGCTAACCCCAGGGCTTGCCTCTTACTGTTTAAGTGGTCCCTAGCCTAGAGGTGTTTATTATTCACTGGGACCAATTCTTTGAATCTTCTAGATTGTCCTAGGAGTACCCCTTTTGCACCCCTACTGCTCTGTGTTTGCTCCAGCCACTAAAAAATCTTGAGAGAGTTTGGGATTTCCTGATGTACTCTGCCATCTTCCCATAATCCTCTCCCCAAATGTCATTTTCTAACATCTGTATTACTTTTGTGGCTCTCTTTTGACATTTTTCTAAGTTCTTATGTCTTGCCTCAGTGGTAGACTGCAGGACAAAAATATTATATTAAGAGTTTGAGCAGAAGTGATCATGTTGGGAGCATCATGCATACCTTAAAATATAATAGCAAATAATTGATTTTTGGAGTAAGGGAGAGCTGAGTTCAAATCCTGTTTCAGACATATTAGCTGTTTGGCTCTGGGCAGTTACTACCTCTCTCACCCTCAGTTTCTTCATCTGTAAACTGGGCCAATAACAGCACCTACCTCACAGAGTTGTGAGGATCAAGTTAGATAACATACATGAAGTGCTTTGTAAGCCTTAAAGTCATATGTAAGTGCTAGCTATTCTTCTTAATAATTTTGCTAGTTTGAGATGAAACCACAGAGTTATTTTGATTTGAGTTTCATTTTTTAATGATTTGGGTGAGGGTAATTAGGCCTATAATTTCATTGGTACAGGGAACTCCCAGTGAGGAAATTCCTGCTACCAATACATCTGTTCTTCCATCACCTTGTGGTCTTAGAAAACTCCTTGGAGCACTGTGACTGCTCAGAGCTCGGTGACTTGACTAGGTTGCACGGTTATTACTACTTGGCAGTTCTTTTGAGAGCTGTTTTTCCCCCCATCTTTTGACCAGTTTTCCTTTGGACAATGGCTGTTAGTCTTATATTTTTGAGTTTCCTATATGTTTTGTATTCTCGGTCAGAATATATGATTAACCATAACATTGTATATCAGTCACTGTGTTGGATAACAAAGAGTTTACACCTTAATCTCTCTTTAAGTACATGTTATAGGAATTTTTTCTTACTTTACAGTTAATAATGCATCTTTTAATTAAATATCTTTAGTAATAACATGAAAATAATAGTAAATATTAATTTAAAAAATCTTTTATGAAGGTTATTGAAGAAATAGAAGAAATGATGCAAGAATCACCTGATCCAGAAGATGATGAAACCCCAACACAGTCAGACCGTCTCTCCATGCTTTCCCAGGAAATTCAAACCCTTAAGAGATCTAGTACAAGCAGTTATGAGGAGAGTAAGAAACCTTACTTAAATTTATATCTTTGAACTGTTTTTCCCCTGTCAAATAGTTTGTATAGATTTGATCTATGATCTCTTCTATCTTTAAAAGTGCTGTCCTGTCATTACTCCTGGGATATTTTAGAATCATAGTTGGAATAGTTAAGAATACATAAAATAGTGACATAATATAATTTAATAACTTATTAATCTGAATAGGTTCTAAACATGTATAACCAGCTTGAGATTATTTAGGTGCTGATTACCCAGAACCTCAACTAATTATTTCTATATATCTGACCTTCCAAATGGAGTAGACAGTGTTGAGAACCTTAGCTCTCTTCTTGGCTGTTTGGTTTCTTGGACAGAGGTATATTTTGAGGAATACAGGACTAAAAAATTTCATAGATAATTTTCTTTGGATTTTCTTAATATCTTGCTGAGTAGTGGGATCATTGTTTCTGAGTATGACTCCAACATGCAGATGAACTGTGATGCAGTGGAGTGACTGCATTCTTCTAGCTGCTCTAGTTTGACTCAGGTTTGGTAAATCATTTTTATTGTCATTTCTTCTCTGCCTGTTGTGTATTGGGGAGATGTGATGGCTGTTGGAATTGTAGAGAAAAAAGCATGTAATTGGGCTTCTTTCATATAGGAGTTTAAGTGATTTCTTTTATCCTTCTGTCCTTAAAAAAACACTCTTGGGGAATTGAGGATTTCTGGGTACATGTAGTCAATTAGTGTTTATTCCCCTAAAACTGGCTTCTGCTGAATAACTTGTAGTTTCTTGCAAACTGGTATTTTCCTCAGCTCCCTCCTCTTTTTGTACTTCTCAACTGAGCTACCAGGCATGGGAAAAATTGGCTTGGACATGTAACTAATTTTTTATATGTATCTGCTTACTTGTCTGACAAGCCATGTGGCTTTTGCTGAAGACTGCCAACCAGAAATTTAAAGAAGTGCCCCTTTCCCCCAGAAAAATGAGCAGTTATTTTAATTGTTGGTAATCACTTTTGCTTTTTGGCATAAAACCCAGTATGGTTTTCTTTGGAAATCATTTTATCTTATTGTGCTGTACTTTGTGGTTGGTTACAGGGGTAAAAAGACTCTCAGTGAGTGAATTAAATGAACTACTAGAAGAAATTGAGACTGCCATCAAGGATTACTCTGAAGAGTTGGTTCAGCAGTTGGCTCTTCGAGATGAGCTAGAGTTTGAAAAGGAAGTGAAAAACAGCTTCATTTCTGTCCTTATTGAAGTTCAAAACAAACAGAAGGAACATAAAGAAACAACAAAAAAGAAAAAGAAGCTGAAAAATAGCAGCCCACAGAATGGCAAGAATGAGAAAAGTCATATGCCTGGAACAGTAAGTGAGATGTTTGGCCCTCAAATTCATAAGGGATATTTATCTGACTACATATGGATGAAGTCAGTAATACTTCATGACACTCTGAAACCACAGGAGCATTATAAGTAATAAATATGAAGGAGTTTGTTACTTTGAAACAAAAAATAAAACCAGCTGTCACAGAGGGATGCCATAGCTGGTGCAAAACCCTTTTTTCTTAGTGAGGAGACGAACTGGAGAACCCAACATAGAGAAGTAAGATAGGAATGAGTGAGAGTGGTGAGAAGGAAGGAGAGTCCAAGAAGCATCATTAGGGAGGTAGCACATTTTTTAAAATCTAAAAAATGGACAATTGTTTCATAATTTCAGTTAGTCTTTATACTTAAAATGTATTATGAGGCAGCATTTGCTAGTGGAAATGATTTCACTTGAAGAGATCCCATATAAAACACTTGGTAAATCAGTTTAGTTCTCTCACAGTGGAAAAAGGTTGAGAGTTGCTGGCACCATTAACACCTGAGCCCTATTCCTAGCTCTTTTGTGTTTCTGGAGCAGTCCTGCAGTTTCCTTAGATGAGACTGCAATCTGTCTTTCCATAAGTAGTTGTTCTTATTATCCATACCCTGCTCCACTTTGACTGTGTCTACTCCTGGAACCGTTTTGAGGTACTCCTACACACTCACTAGCATTGTCTGCTGTATGTCAAGAAGAATGAACTTTGCTTTGAGAGTAAAAAAAATGCTTGCTTGAGGACCAGCTCTTCTAAAGTGAACTGGCCTTTTTATTTCATTGTTGAGTGTGACTTTAGAATAAAAGGCAAAGATAAAGTTATAAAATAGTTAAACAGTTGCTGCAATGTAAATTATAGATCCATCTAAATTAGGAGGGGTTCCTTTCCTCAAGTGCAGTTACTAAACCAGCATTTCTCAAACTCTGTTCTATAGATATTTGGTGTTTCATGTGGTGTGAATAGGGTTCCATTAGAAAATTTCTGTGCTGGCAATATTTTCCCATACTTCTCCTGTAGAACAATAACTGAGAAATTATGTCTGTATCCAAAAATGCTTCTTCTGTATATCAGTTTTGGGAGTATGAAAATAGGCTTTTTTTCCCTTTATTTCGTGCACATTATATTTTCCTTTGTTTCATGAACAAATTTTCCTGACCTTTCATCTTGAGAATATTTCATATACCCCCAGGATAATCTAGATTTGTATTTATGGGTTCCATTGCTATGTTCCCAGTCCCACAAATGTTCTGAGACTCAATTAGTTTAGGTAGGAAGTATTGTGGTAGACAAATGCATATCATTGCCTAGACTAAAGTTGAGTGAGTCCTGGAGAGAGAATGCAATTCTTGAATTTCTGTGCTGCCACAGAGATGTTAATCCAAACAAAAGCATCACATCACCTAAAATACTGTGCTATTATTGGTCTCAGTACAAGGTGGTCTCTATTGCAGGGATATTTTCAAGTAAAAATAGAAATTGACAAAGTAAATCTTGCAGCACAGTTTGTATATTTAAAGGGGGAATGTTATTTAACATGTCTAGCTTTCTTGCTTTCTTACAGAAATGATTTATTTTCTAGATTCCTTCAGAATGTGTACATACCCACAACTTTATCTGTAAAGAATATAGCTATGTAAGAATAGGAAAGGATGGATGGGGAAGTAGGTTGTGGTTAGCAAAGATGGATACAATACAATTGTTTTCTAGTTTTTTGAATCAACAGAGGTGATAGTGTAGGTACTTCTACTTAAATCAGCTGATTCATCGATTTAAATGCCAGATCTTAAATTGGTTTGTTTTTCCATGTAGTGTAGCTTTATGCCTAGACACATTTAGACAGAGACAGGAAGACAGGACCTGGGACTGATTTTTCTTGTGTGACTCATAAACTGGCACTGAAGGCATTTCCAAAAGAGGAGTTCCAAAAATATTTTGAGCAATGATAGTACTGTTAATACAAGGGTTTAGCCCCCACTTCCCTTCTGTTGCACTGCACCTTTTCCCCATGACTACATTGAAGAAAAATACTACTTTGGAAATTTGGCTATATCTTTTGTTATATATTGAAAGAAACAAATCACTTGTTACTTTATATTCATACCACACATAGTTTAAAAATTTCTTCCTTCAAATAACCTTCTCTGTTACAGGATAAAATTTACTTTTCATTTTTAAAAATATGGTAAATAATGTAGGAATGGCTTTTTTTTTAAGATGAGGCAAGGCAAATAAGAATGCTTTTCAAAGAAACAAAATTTTGTCCTTAGATCAATTCCTAGACATCTTGTGGATTTCAGCATCGTGGTATATCAAGGATTGGTTAAAATTGGAGCCATTAGGTAACTCTGCTTCATGCCATTTATGCTAAGAAGTTGATTTGATAAAGGAACACTAATTGTGATTTGGTTTTCTGTGGTGAAACAGTCTTAGAATGATTGTGAACTTCTTAGGTGATTCAGTCTTGTGAAATTGCTCTTTAAAATCATGCTTTGCTGTTAGTGTCGAAACCTCTGGTCAGGTGTAAGGACATGGCGTAGATATTAGTGCTTACTTCTTACGTTTTTCTCATATATTAAATGTGAAGTGTATGGTTTGTACTTGAAACCTGTGATTCCAGAAATAGTAATAGGTGGTTTATTAAACTCGGCTATTTTTTTTTTGTGAATTGAAGTTGCTATTTGCATAGCTGGTTCTAGAAAATGAGTTACCTTTTTTATAAGTATAGTATTTTCTCAGAAATGCTGATACTTATCCACATCAAAACTGCATGATGATTTTGTACTATTGGAGCTTGTATTTAGTATTTCTTAGGATAGTTTCAAATAGTATTCATATTTCCTTTATTATTTGCTATTATGTTTCATTAACAATAGTCATATTTTTCTTTTAACTTTGGATTTTTTTCCTCACACTATTGGGATCTGTATTTATTTTCTTAAGATTATGAATAACAATCATTGTAATGAAAAAACAATTTCAAGTACCTTCCCATGATAATGCCTCATAGAGTAGCTTGTGCTGTTTTGTTTATAAGTTATGTCTTTGTTTAGTCCAGGGGTGCTGAACTACCTCAAGAAACTGAGGACCAAGGGAGTTAAGTGACTTGGCAAGGTCACAAAAGGTAGTATCAGTGGTGAGATTTGAACCTGGGTCCTCTCACCCAAGAGCACATCAGTCACAGCTAACCCATAAGTCTGTTCTTCTACTCACACAAAACCTTTACAGAATCATCTATATTCAAATCAAGAGCATGCTTGAGGTGGATATGAGCAGAAAAAAATCAGTCTTTCACTAAGAAACTTTTAATCATGTACCATATCTTTCTGATCATGTGTATTGTATGTTGATTATAAAAAAAAATTTGATTTGGGTAGAACAAAATAATGCCTTATAGTGAGGTTGTCTCCCATCCGTATGTTGGAAGATGTGACAACAGAAAAAACCCTGGTTACTAAATGACTTTGAAAATTAGCTTTTCTTCTCAGAAAAAATCCTGGTTACTAAATGACTTTGGAAATTAGCTTTTCTTCTATATTTGATGTTATTTCTTAATGAATTCAACCTAAAATGATAAGGCAAAACAGCACTTTTATGGGAAATTGATACTGTAGTAAACTGATGAAAATTAACAATTGAATCATAGCTAATGTCCAGCTACTTTATACAGTTCTTGTGATGTCAAAAATTAAAACAAGAAGTGAGATCTCCATTTCCATACAAATTTGCAGTAGATATCTTTTCTCAGCTCAAACTAGTTCCAGCAGCACTTTTTGAATCTTGATGTAAGTGCAAAAGAAATGTCCACATTTCAAAATTCATTTAACTGTGCTATTGAGGAGCTTCAACCTTATCTTCAATTGGAAGTGATTAATCTTTAATGTCAATATGCTAAAAGGCAAATCTCAAGAAAAAAATCTACTAGAATTCTATAAATGCCTTCTAAGAGATGAATATGCTCAATTAAAATCATGCTTGTGCATTGATATCAATATTTGGCAGTACCTATCTGTGTGAAAAAACATTTTCAAAGATAAAATGGGTAAAATCTTGTTACACAATAGCATTAACAGATGAATATTTGCAGTCTATTTTGATGATAGAGAATACTAACTTTGAACCTCAATTAAGTGAAATGTTATTCCCCCCCAAAAACAGTAACATTCTTCTCATTAGTAGGCCTGCATTATAAAAAATTGCCCTCTGTTAGTATCATATTTTTAATTTTGTTGATAAAAATTTGTGGAAATTTGTTTTCTTTCATGTTATGTAACTGTATAAAATACTTGATTTTGTCTTTTGGCCTGCAGAGTCTAAAATTTTATTATCTGACCCTTTTCAGGAAAAAATTTACTGACCTCAGCCCTAGAATGTCTGAGATCTTTACCTTGGATGGAAAGAGTTGGGTTTAGATTTCACTTCTGGCACTGCCTGTATGACCATGGGCAAATCATTTAACTTCTTTTGGTCTGACTTTTCTCATCTGTAAAATGGGAATAATAATATTACCTACTTTAATAGGTAATCTGAAGCTAAAATGTACATAATATGCTTTGTAAACTTTAAAGTGCTATAAATGTCTGTTATTTTCATTATTTAGAGCAATATTTTCTGAGAACCTACCAATCCAAGCATCAAAAGCAAGAAGCAGTCATTACCATAAAAAAGATTTAAATTCTCCCAATAGTTCTGATACATCTGAAAAAATATGATTGTTTTATTAAAGTATTCATCAGTATGTTGGTATATAAATTATAGGTACTCTACATTACTAAAATATATTAAATATTTAAATAGAGAGTAACTTGTGAATGTATCTTTCATAAAGTACTTCTCACCAGATGAATTATAGGATCATAGATTTAGAATTGGAAGGGATTTTAAAGGTCATGTAGTTCAGTTTCCTTATTTTATGGGCTGTTGAAACTGAGGACTTGCCTCAGGATCACACAGAAATTGGCAGAGGTGGGATTTGAACACAGTTCCTTTTATTCCAGAACCTGAGCTCTTT